AAATTGAAAGCAGATTATTTTAAAACTAACATTCATACGCTATGTACTATGTGCTATGTACATATTTTTTACAATGATTTTAAGCTGTAAACAGTTAAAACTTCGTATCCGCTATTTAAAAGCTCAGTGAAATTATATATATATACGTAAGTTTATAAAATATAGAAATTTAATATATATAAATATATATATATATATATATATATATATATATATATATATATATATATATATATGTATATATATATATATATATATATATATATATATATATATATATATATATATATATATATATATATATATATATATATATATATATATGTATATATATATATATATATATATATATATATATATGTATATATATATATATATATATGTATATATATATATATATATATATATATATATATATATATATATATATATATATATATATATATATATATATGTATATATATATATATATATATATATATATATATATATATATACATATATATATATATATATATATATATATATATATATATATATATATATATATATATATATATATATATATATATATATATATATATATATACTAACTATTTTGTTTACTTATAATACTAACTATTACTATTTAATACTAGCTTAATACTAAGTTGTTTGTTTTCGCCGCTTGAATCATATTTATTGGTTACTGCTACTGGTATACTCTATTGTTACTGATATACTTTTCTGCTTTTCTGTTGCGATTTGAAACAAAACTGGTAAAATTAAAGTTTATTTATCAGATTTTTGCTTTGCGTAACCAAATATCACATCAATACGATATTAGATTACAAGGTGATTTTAGATTACACGGTTGAATTTAACCATGGAATACAATAATCTAATATCGTATTCAACCAAACGTATTAATTCAGTAATATTTATTCCCAAGGGATAGTTTAAAATAAAACCTAGTTAAAGAAGCATTATCTAATATCAATTAACATTTTTAATACTATTTTAAGTTTGTATATCGCATCTAAACTTGTCAATTAGAAAATCTGAATCTTTTTACTGAAAATGTTCCTTCCTGTTTCATTCCTTAATGAAAAACGCCTATTCTTCTAGCTTTTGTCATCAAGCTTTGATGATTTGGAATCACCTCTTGACTTAAAGTTGTTCTGACTAAAGCAATTTACGACTATCCAAAACTTCTGTTAACTTTTTTTTCTTCTTTATCCCTTTTTTTTTGTTTTATGCTAACTATCAACTTAAGCAGTAGTTGGCAGCAATCATGTTAAATTCAATTGAGTTGCTAAGACGAAGCAACACTTCCTAGTCTAGCTCCAATAGTTTTTACTGCGTCTAATCTGCAATGCGAAGATGGGATTGTCATAGCGGAAGTGAAAATGGTCTAGCTCCTAGTTTTTTTAAGTGTTTTATTTGATGCTTTTTGAGGTGAACACAATAAGATTTTGTCACTATTGTGGTCTTAGAAGTAAGCATTTTCCACTGCACAGTGTCACACAAGTCCTACAAGTCAGCTTTTGAAGTTAACAGTTTTTAAGATTCTAACCACTGATGTTTTCTGGTATGGTATTTTATCTTCAGTGAAGACATGGTTAAGGTTGTATAAATGTTAATGACATTGGTTATTTAAATGTGTGGTGCAAAGATAAGAGGTTTATGCAAATGACCATTTGCTGAACTACCTGACTTACGTTTTGGAAAAAGACTTTTCCTGAAAAAAATTTACGTTTTGGGAAAAGATTTTTACCTGAAAAAACTTTAATTTTACCAGTTTTGTTTAAAATCACAACAGAAAAGCAGAAAAGTATATCAGTAACAATAGAGTATACCAGTAGCAGTAACCAATAAATATGATTCAAGCGGCGAAAACAAACAACTTAGTATTAAATAGTAATAGTAAGTATTATAAGTAAACAAAATAGTTAGTAGATATATATATATATATATATATATATATATATATATATATATATATTAAATCCATATATTTTATCAACTTATGTATATATATATAATTTCACTGAGCTTTAAAACAAGTCTGATTACTATAATAGCGGATAATAGTAGGTAGTCTTTTCCTGGAAAAGACTACCTGACTTACGAAATGGGAAAGATTTTTTAACTCAAGTCAAACCCAACATAAAAGTCTTTCCCATTTCGGGCAAGTGGTATTCTATTGTAACTTCATCTTCAGAAATCATCCGTGTTTAATTGAAAAACACCGCGTAATTAATCTTGGATTTCTCTTAGTCTAACCATAAATGCTAATTCAATTAGTCTGCTGGCTTTGCATTTTGGGTATGATCGGAAATATTATGTCACTATTGCAAAAGCATTAAACTAGGGATTTACCGAAGCTTCAGCTTCGGCTTGAGGTAGTAACAAATAGCAAATTTTACCTTCAAGAGTGCAAAAGCTTCGGCTCCGGCCTAAGCTTTGGCTTTGGCAGAGTGACTTCGGCCGAAGCTTCGGCTTCGGCAAAATCTTAGCTTCGGTACATCCCTAATTAAAACCATCTATTTTTTATTACCTCAAGCTTCGAAGCTTTTTTCAAACCAACAGAAGCTTCGGCACTTTTGCCGAAGCTTCGGCCGAAGCCAGGGTTAGTTTTTGCCGAAGCATTAGCTTCGGCGAGTTTTTTTAGGTAATTAAAGGTAATAAGCTACTGTTATATTAAACATAAAATAATTTTATTGCTTACAATATAATTACTAAAATTCTACTACTTGTAGTTTGCTCCTTTACTTTGATTCCTTGACGTATGTCGCGGCATATATAGTACAGATTGCGACGTACCGCAAACTATATTGTCATTTTTTTTTTGTTTACCTACTTATCATAATTAATGGGTAATTTTTTATATTTTATGTAAGTTTTATGCTTTATTTCATTCCGTTGTTATATTAACTACAACCTATTTTTATTGTGACTTGTAAAGCATGAGTTGTTAATATCTGCAGATAACCTGCAGAAAATCAATGGTAGCATGCTGTAATAATTGTATGCATACAAAAACACTTTGAAAGCGTTACGAAAGGTAAGAGCAGACCCATTGGAGATCATACCGTTTCTTGACTAAACTAGGAACAAATCAACTGCAATTGATTTGTTGATGAAAATAAATTTTAAAATCAGTTTTAAGTTCATCAACAACAGTTTTGATTCGATGGAATCAAAACTGTTGTTGATGAACTTAAAACTGATTTTAAAATTCATTTTCTTAAATACAAAGATAATGGTCGCCTGGAAATTGCAATGATTCTCAAACCCCGTTTTAGATAAAAAAAAAATTTAAGAAACAGATTATAGCATGTTTAAGGAAATTTTCTATATGATACTACTGCTTTCATTTCGAGTATCGATACTCAAAATGAAAACGGTAGTACCCTTGATATAAAATTTGCTTGTTTGTTGTAAATGATCACTTACAACAAGCAAAAGAAGTTATTTCGTATAAATGAAAATGCTTCACAGAAATATGAAAACACTGATGGAAGGGAAAAAAACATAATAGTAAAAATCCTAGAAGAAAAACTCAGAATTTAAAAGGAAAATGGTACGAATAAAAAATATCTAAATAAAATTGTAATTTTTTTATTTATTACAAACATAATTAAAAATTGATGTTAACTTTTAAATTAATTATTATGTTGCAGTCAGCCCTGTTAATAGAAATTTATTTACAGGTTTGTTTGCACAACAGAAATGCTGTAGACAAAATTATATTATTTATATTATGGAAAGATTTCGGCAAGCAAGCACAAACTATTACAGGTAGGCCTTGTCTTACTGTAGTTACGGGTCTGGTTGCATTTAATATTTTTAATTTTCCATACAAAAAATAATTATTTATCAACTATAAATGTTGAATTAATTATCAATAAATATAAGTTAATTAACAAAATTAAAGACACTAAAAAATGGGATTCGGCAAGGTTTTTAATGAAAATTTTGTGCGCACCTCTTTCCGTAAAAGAGTGAACCTCTATTCAGCACAACGGCAAACATATTTTAAGCCAAAAGAAATAGGCTGTTGCTTGAGCATGGAGAACAGATTACGTTTTTAAACTATAGTTTGCCTGATTTCTAACAGTGGATAATTAATTTAGAAGTAATAAACAAATAAGTATAATAAAAACAACCTCCCTCATTTACTCTAATTTATGGTAATTACTAAATGGTATTTTTTTATAATGCAAAGTACAAACTAATGTAATGTTCAACTACTAATTTTTAATTAGTAATTACTAGTTAGTTAATCATCTTTTTTTTATGTAATATTAAATTTTTTCAAACAAGGTATTGCTACATCATAAATTCCTATGACTGCGTAATTAAAAAAACAAACCTTGATGATTTGATATCGTAAAATACCTTGTGCGCTAAAATACTTATAAATCCAGTATATATATTTTACTACATGCAGTGCATATAATAATTGAAGTAAAATGTTAAAAAAAAATTTTCAGCAAATAATATTATCCCTGGATAGCTAGATCTGCAAGAAAGCAAATTTTACCTTTGAGAGTGCAAAAGTTTTGGCTCTTGCCAAAGCTTCGGCTTCGGCAGAATGACTTTGGCCAAAGCTTCGGCTTCGGTAAAATCTTAGCTTCGGTACATCCCTGATTAAAACCATCTATTTGTTATTACCTCAGGTTCGGTACACTGACCTATCCGATTGCATAAATTCTGTGTGGCTAAATCTCATAAAGCAAGGTGTGTCAGACCTTTACTTTAACATGGCTTATTTTTCACAACTAGCAGGTGTTGCAAAGTAGAAATTTCATTGACATGATGATTAATTGCCATTTCTGGTCCTATATATTTTTAAATCTTGAAAACATCTCTAACTTGGAGGAATTCTTAGCAACGCATTACTATTCTGGTGGTCCTTTTTTTTTAATAACAGTGGTTATAATTTTATTTTTTAATTAATAATAAAATAAAAAAAATTACAATTTTAAAAATAGAGTAAAATTTTTAATGCTTACATTGCAATTCAATAAACAACTTATCAGGTTTGTGGGAAGTTCAAGGTTGCACACTTTCATACACTAAAAATTGCATGTTTCATAAGTTATATATCTTTACTTCTTTTTTGTTTTAAGCAATTAAAATATTTTTACTTGAAAGCATAAAACAAAATCATTAAATCAATAAAATCATTATATAAAATATAATATTTTAACTAAATTCTAATATAATTAAATTAAATAACTAATCTTATAAAAATTAAAATAAATTATTGATACATGATGACAAGTAAATTGCATAGGTAATCATTTTTTTCTTCATGTTATATCAAATTTGTTCAAACAAGAAAAAACAATTTGTTCAAAATATTCCTATTGTTTTTTTAGCACGCAATATATATAATGCTTAATTCAAAATTTGTTAATAATATTTCAAAAAAATAATAATATTTAATTGATTTAATTTTAAAAAAAGACCTTTTTTATTATTAAAAAAAAACTAACGACTTGACTTATTTATGTAGTCATGAAACTTATTGACAATATAAACTTTTACAATAAATAGCTTCATTCATAGCAAGGTTCCGTAAAATTATGCTTAAACTTTTATCTTTACAAATTTAAGTTATATAACCGAGGACACTTGATTCCTTTTTTGATTTTAACCTTAAAATTCTTATTTTGAAATTCAAACTAGGTAAACAAACGTTCTTTCAATATATTTCGAACTTAATTGAGTTTACTTGATGTAAAATTAAATAGACTGTAGATATGAGTTTACTTGATATGGAACAAAATAGTCTGTAGATTTGAGATTAGCTTACAAAAAAGTTAAGTTAAAAGAGTAATGATGCCATCAAGATTAATCGTAACCTAAAGCTACTAAATAAATTCAAAATGTAGCAAAACAGGAGTGGATCCAGCATTTTTGGTCTTTGAGATAGCTAACCTCTAAACATTGAGAAAACCTCAAACATTTATATGTTTACACTAATGTCAAATAAGGATGCTTTGCAAAAAGTTGCGATGATTGATACCTGGGAACAAAAAAGACCCCAAAATTATTGTCTCTTGCCCAAAACGTGAGAGTAACAATTTGATAAAATCATTTTTGTACTATTCTTAACTAGACTTATATTATTCGTTTAATTTTAAGTTTCATAGTATAATCTCTCAGCCTTCAAAAATTATGACCAGATATAGTTAACCGTCATTGTTGTCTTTTGAAACTTTTATTTGCGTGTCATAGGTTTGATGTCTATTTAAAAAATGGATAAAAGTTATTTAATAAAAGTTTAATCATAAAATATGCAATGAGATAAAAGAAAAGCAATCTTTGGAAGGAGGAATAATCCTCTCTCATGATTATCTTGTCTCTCAAGGTTTTCAATTTCATCTTTATTATCAACTCATTATCAAAATAAAATGAATATATATAGCAAGGTATATTATAATACTGAAAAACTTAATTTAATAAGAATTTAAAAGTTTATTGTTTTTTTCTAGTTTTAACTGGTTTATGAAAAGTTGGTGGCAATATTTCTAAATATTTAATTAAAAATTTATTTATTATATTTCAAAAAAAAAAATTTCATTTAATTTAACTATTATAAGTATTTTATATGGAGAAAAAACTTATGAATTGGCTAACTTATATAGTCATAAATCATATTGGCAATATTAACTTTAAACTATGCTTAAACTTTTATCTTTAAATATACAAGTTGCTATATAAGAGTCATGATGTCTTTAAAATACAATTACTAAATAAATTTAATTTGTAACAAAATACAATTTCATCTCTATAGTAGATAAACTTTTTGTAATCTTTGTTTAAACTTTTATAATTTTACTAAATACAATTAGTATATAGTCTACTAAGGATGTAATGTCATTTTTTTTTTATAATCTTGCATTTTATAAAACATCAGCATCTTATTATTTTAAAAATATCAAAGCTTTTTTTATTAATACTCTCTTAATTTTAATGTCTTTTTAATTGTTGATCAAGTTTTAATAATTGTTTAAGTGTGGATCAAATAATTAATAAAATAAAATTTTTTAAAAAGTTTATATAAGACTTCTAGTAGTTGATTCAAGTAAAAGTATTACAATTAATGATATTTTTTAACATGAGTGTTTAGCAGGGTGTGATGATCTTCCATCTACTCCATCATTGACTCCAGGAGTTTTAGGAAGTTCAAGAAATCAAATTGAAAAAGCGTTCAAAGTTGCGCTTAATGCTTTCCACACTGTGGCACTAATGGTTGTTGCAACCGCACCCTAGCAAAGTGAAGAAAATTAAAGAACTCCAATTAAAATAGTTCTTTAGGTAGTTCTTTTGGTTTTGACAAAGAATGATCACTTGACGATATTCGAATAAACAAGAATTAATAATAGTAAAACTGCATACATTTTTTCTGATGAAATAAGAGAAATTTCATATCAAATCACTAGAAAATTTGTAATCACAATATAGTCAATCTTGTGGTTTTCATTTTTAATAAAGTTAATTCTTTTTTTAAAAAAACTTTAATAAATGATTGTTAGAATTATATATTTTTTTCAGTTAAACATAAATATATGCGCAGTTTTTTTTGTTTTTGTTTTATTGTAAAATTATATCACCTTCAAGAAACAATAAAATAAAATAACATCCTTTTTTAACTTAAGGTAAAAATATCTGAAGATTATCTTAAATTCTTTAAATTTTAATACTTTATTGTTTTTAATATTACCATTCATTTACTAAATAATAAAACTTTAAATGAATTTAAATGAATTTTAAAAATCAATACTGAAAAGTATACTTCAGTTTCTCATTTTCAAATCATTTACAACTATTTTTACTTTATTTATTGCTGTTAATAAAGTTCAGAATGGTATAATAAACTAAAATTAATAATTATACATAATTAAAATTAATAATTAAAGAATTAAGTTTATACAATTTTGTTTAATTTTGTAACATGTTTTTATGCTTATGTAGGTGCGCATTACAAAAAAAAATTTCAAAAGCTGAATACACTTCCTTTTCAACTTTTGTGCTTTTTCGAGTTGCTCTGACATCATCATAGGTTTTCTTTAGGATGCAACAAATATATCACATTTGATCTTTGGCTCAAGAGCTTTGGAAACATGAGAAAAATTTTTTGAAAAGCTTCTCGTCCAAAATTTAAGGTTTTTACAAACTGTTTTACTAGCCTTGTTTAATATGGGGCAAAACAACTTTGTTAGAATCTATTTAAACCTGCTTGAAAAAACTAAACAATTCTTGTTGTAGTTCCACTCGTGACCTATGAGCTTTTTTTTAATGATTATCATCAGCCCTATTGTCCCATAATGAACGAAAACAGGAGTACTTTGTGTATCCTCCTTGCAAGTTAAGCATAAATGCAAACATCCTAATATCACCACAAACATCCCACTTAAATTCAAAATAATTACTTTTGTCAAAATTTGTATTTAAAATAACTATTAATGACGTATTTTTCCGTCTACGATAAATGTATTATTATCTATCTTGCTATGCGCTACCTTTTTTTCCTTATCAATGCTAAAGCTGTTTAACGAGAAGCAGATTAACAACTTCCTATGGAATACTTTTTGAGGCTCTGACAACATATGGGTGCTCGTTTACCGGTTGGCGTTGTAAACGTTATAACTTAAAACGGCCTGCTGCCGGAGATTTCAATTCATAAATCAATTGTATTGAGCTGTATTTATCAATACAATTTTTATATTATATTATATTGCTGCTTTATTGTCGAGCACTCTCTAAAATAGTGGTCACATTGAATAATTATTGAAAATATGGAACAACGTTTTTTAAACTTATAATATACTTAGTATCTGTTGTTATATACTTTGTATTTGTTTGTATCTTATAATAAACTTTACAACGAAAATGTAACTAAAACAATCTGATGAAAATTAATATGGTACAATTAATATTGAAGCAAAAACAAATATAAAAGATTTAAACATCGACGACAGCATAAAGTGCCTTGCATGAGTTCAGCATTTATAACCATTAAGGATTGCAAGGAAGATTTCGCTAATAACACAAAGTGTCGATTGATCAACCCATCTATAACGGAACTTTTAAAAGTTTCGTTTGTAAAATTTTTTTTAAAAATATTAAAAATATAGTGAAAAAGCCACGTTTGTAAACCAGTTACATAACACAGGCAACGTGATAAAATTGTTTAATAATATTCATAAAAAAAATTTATTTTTTTCCAATTTGACATTAACGAGTTTTATCCATCAATCTCACAAAAACTACTTCATGAATCTTTACATCACGCTAAGAAATACGTAGAATTATCAGACAAAACACTTGGCTTTATAAATCATTCAAGAAAATCTTTGCTTTTTATTGATCGCAACAACATGTGGACTAAGAGACTTGGTGACCCAAACTTTGACGGTTTTGGTTTTTATATCTTGGTTACTATAAGCAATCTATATAAATTGCAATTTAACTGATTGTATAGAGATAATAGTTTGTTCTGTTTTCATATGGTGAGTGAACCAGAATCAGAAAAAATTAAAAAAAATTTTGTCAACATTTTTAAGGATAAATTCGATCTAGAATTAACAGTAAAATCAAACTTTAAGATTGTAAATTTTTTAGATGTTACGTTTAATTTATCGGATTGTTCGTATCAACCATACAGATAACCACGTGACCACCCACTATACATTAACGTTAATCCTAAGCAAACATCCTCCTAATATTATCAAATCCATACCAATGATGTTATACAAACGAATTAGCAATACTACATACAACAAAGACTTTTTTGACAAAGTTTCACCTTTTTATGATTATGCTCTGGTTATCAAGAAACAATCTTTTATAATCAAATCTTACCGCAACAAAATTAAAATCAAGATCAGGTAATATTATATGGTTTAACCTTCCTTTTGCGTTTAACGTTAGAACAAATGTTGCAAGAGTTTTCTTAAATTTAGTTAAAAAAATACTTTTTGAAATCTCATAAGTTTTATGAAATCTTCAACAAAAACAACTCAAAAGCTAGAGCTGTTTTCCTCAAAATATTTAATCAAA